TTACCCACTAAGAAGTTCCTGTCTGAATTTGGCTCTTTTTTGGAGTCTTCTGTTGTTATGAATTCTCATAATTGCTGAAGACTTTATCTTTCATATGGAGGATAATTCATCCTCTGAAGCGCGACAATTTGGCAAGCTCATGCATTCAATGGTCCAGAAAGAGCATGTGTCACAGCCTAGAGCGCGGCCATACGCTCGACATTGTTATTACACGTGCTAAGACGATTACCTCGATGGTTATGACGTTGAGTCTTCGTTACCAACCGATCATGGTATCGTCAACTTCCAATTTCAATTGATTTGATCCTGTCCACAGAGGGTCACTTGTATGCGTCAGTCTTAATAACCGAGATGCGACAACAGAGGAGCTAGCTGCATCCATCTTAGAACATCTGTTGCCGTCATCGAACGACGCAAACATTCACCAGCTGGCAGATGACTATAACACCAAATTGGCTACTGTGATGGACGAGGTTGCTCCTTTAAAGGAGAAGACCATTGCAAAGAAGCCAAGAGCAAATAAGTTTAACGATATATCATGCTAAGAATTATGAAGATGAGAAATATGATCGACCAGTTTCAAATATCACTTTTCTAGGTAAGAGTATTGAGCGATTAGTTTTATCAGATTGACAAATATCTACCGGGGAACTCCATGTATCGCAAATTTCAATCTGCCTTTCGTAAAGTCTATTCAACAGAGATGGCGCTTTTAATAGTTTTCAATGATATTTTAATGGCGTTAGATAATCATCTTGAGATGAGATTAGTTATGTTACTTATCTTCCGCATTCGATACGGTTGATCACAGTTTTCTACTGCGGAGCCTGAACAAAAGTTTCTTAACGCAAAGTCATGTTTATGATAGGCATCGGTTCTTTATACTGAAAACCCGCCAATTACTCACTAAATGTGAAGTCTTTCAATGAAACAAGAAGCTAGCCTTTCGTCAAGGCCTTCGCTGCTGTGTTACAGTTTAACTGCAAAGCGGCTGGACCACATGCGCGAGTGGCGCAGCCACGAGGCCTTTTCCAATTTGTCAGGAATTTCTTGTGTTTTTCTCCATGATTTCGATTTTGCTACACCGTTGCATTGTTAGGCTATTGAAGCATGAGTACGCGGGCTCCATATTTCAAGCACTGCCGTTTTGCTTTGATCATTCGGTCTTGATGAACTGCTACTTGCTAGTGTTATTCCAACGTCAGCACTACCCCCCCCACCGACAAGCATCATAGTTGTCATCTCACCGCTTATTGCCCTCATGAAAACCGGATGGAAACATGGCGTAAGCTTTGGAGTTGATGCCGTTTGTTTCGGAGACTCATCTGCTTCAACTATTTACATGAAATTTATGAATAATTGCATACACAAGATGCACGCGTCTTGCAGTAATGTCCTAGACTCTCATTGGAACATCCTAACGGTTTCTTTTATTCTTGGGCTTTCTCAAGGAACCACTTAGCGATTGCGAAACGGTTTGTCAGTCGCGCAATAGTTGTAAACATACACGCCATCCTGCAACATTCAACAGTGCAGTGCAGTGCAATGCAGTGCACATCAAGCATGCTTATTACACAATCAACGTAGTGATACCCTAGCTACAACTATCAGTATTCAAAGTGAAGCGGCCGTTTGTTCTAAGACATCAGCCACTGACAGTCTTTGAAATATGAAACTTTGGTTCCGCCATCA